CCATAATGACACTGGAAATATTGATTATCTACAGACCTGCCCTGGTGTGTAATGGATCGGAGGGACTGTGCGTTTACCATCTATAACTCTGATAATCCTGTTAGAACAGGTCCTGTTGATTGTCCTTCCTCTACTTGAGTGAGCAATTTAAAGTCTTATTTACCCACTAGCTCTAAATATGTAGATGAGGTGGTTAGAGGATTTAGTGTTAATTAATTTTTCAGTGTCTGAATGAGAGTAATTAAAGGAAGTTATAAGACAGCTCAATTTCAAACCGTGATTGATTTAGAAAAAAAAGGGTTGACAGCTGCCTGTCAGCCTACTGAACAGCTTTGACTCATTTTTTTTTTTTTTGGTGAGATTTAAATCTTTAAACGATGTCCTTTAGGATTCTACATTATGCAGAAGAATTTTTTTTTTTTTTTTTGTAATTTTCCTCTGGCTTTACATCTTCCAGATAAGAGCAGGAAGGCTTGGTACACACGGTACTTTTATTAGATGTCACATCACAGAAGAGCTTAACCTTAAGTCACTTTGAATCCTCCAGCTGATGTATTAAATAATGCAATTTGTGTATTGTTAAATTAGTCGTTGTTTAACGGTGCATGCTGGTATCAAATATCAACGAATCAGATTGTAGTATTTTTAGGTTTAAAAAGACGATGTTAGGTTAAAGGGTATTTGGTAAAGAGTGTTGAATTGCAGTCATTTTTGTGGTTGCATAGTGAAGCGGTTATTACATACACTATGGCGCCTCTAGTGGCAGCCTGTGTGGGTTGCAAAGACAGACATTTTGTTTAGTGGTTCCACTAAATTTTTCTAGTGGGATGAAAAAGATAATATAACCACAAAACCTATCCAATAAAATACTGTCTGTTATTATTACTGTAACTTACTTTTTTTGGCTGCTCAATAGAAGCTAATGCAGAGTGAACACCCAAAGACAAAGACTTGTTGTGCAGCTGGAGTCTGAGAGAGGGACCGGGGCGGGAGTATTGAGACTTAATGTGCTTCAATTTAAGGCTCCATTAGGTTTTAGAAAAATAACAAAAGTGAACCACATCTTTATCCCGTACTCTTTTTCCAACTCAGTTGATTCACCTTATAAAATGTATTAAAAACTGGACTTTGTGGTTAAAAATGCATTAGAACCTTTTTCTTAATCAGCCAGAGGACAAAGTATATGCAGTTGTTTTTCTACTTTCTAGTCAAGAGATGCAAAATGTTACAATTGGGTCACATCCCATTCTTGTTATTGAATTTTAAATAAATTACTTGTTGATTGTAGCTGTTTTTAAGTGGAAATGTGACCTTTTGTTTTGACGCCAAAGGATGGCCAGTTAGGTGAAGACGGTGGTTGTGGGATGTGTCGAATATCCATAGTTTTATGATTCATAAGGATCGGATGGTTTTTGATACCAAAACAAGCTAAAAGCAGTGGTGACTTTGGGGAAATAGAGCTCCAGTGTTTCTCTGTGTAACTAATATACCACGTACTCTGCTTCTTTCAGTCTGTTCAGTGTTTAATTAATGCATTTGGGCATTAACAATCATTCATTAAGTCGTATGAAGTTCAGATTAATGTGGCTTGGCAGTTTTTTTTTTTTTTTTTTTTTTTTTAACCAGGGAACCCTTGTTTTTTTGCTTTTTTTACAGATATTCAATCCTTTTCAAAATAAGCTGTTTTTGTCTAGATTTGTGGCAGTTCAAGTTCAAACCTCCTTTTTGTGGTCTTCAGTGAATTTGAAGTTTTCTTTTTATCCACGGTCTCATTGCAGATAATATCTCAGAGGAAATGTTTCCCTCCGTATTATGAAGCGGAAAATTTGTTTTCACCAAAGGTGCTACATTTTTCAAACAGCCACCCGATCCCTTCAGGTCCTTAAAAAGTTCTAACGATTCCCAACTACTCCAAAAATGAGGGGAATGTGATTGCACCAAACACATTACTTTCTCGCTAATTCTCCTCCTAAACCTGTGTACTTTGGAGGATTTTTTTTTTCTGTATGCAGCACAGTGCAGTACATTTATACATTATGAGTAGCCCCTCTCCTGCCCCCACCGCTCCTCTTTGAGACCACTCAAGCTCAGCGGACCCAATTCAGAATGTTTTCATGCCAGCCCAGTGAATCAAGTGCTGTCTTACAAACAAAAATAATTGTGCATCGAGCTGTTTACTGCAGAACACAGCGTCAGATTTTCCATGTCTCAGTGGAAAATAAATTGCTGTTACCTTGAAAAAATCTCCATGTTGGTTCAGCTGGAATAATTTAGTGACCATCTACACAGCTGCAGAAGAGAAACGCGTTCCACGTGAATTGGAAAATGATGCAAAAACAAAAAAACGTACATGTTGATATATTGACGAAATATATTTTAATGATGATGAAATATTTAATCTATATATTAAGAAAAGTTTCTGACACATACTGTTATCCAAGGTCTTATATATATTTTTCTCTTTTTCTTAAGTCTTTTGATATTTTTTTATTTTATTTTATTTTTAGAATAGCGTAGTGAATCTAAAACCTTTGGTTCAGGAAATTTACTTTATTTTTAATTCCTTCTTGCCATGCTTCTTACCAGCCAGACAGTGCTCTTTGAGGTAGAGGAGAACATTGTGTTGACATATTCTGAAGAAACGGGGGAAATGAAGTAAACTTTGGGGCTGGAATACTAATTATCGGATTATGAAAAACACACTCTCAAGTTTAGAGTTAACAAAGACACTCCATCTATCGGATCCTCAATCAGGGGTTTTCCAGCAGGAAGGATAATCAATAGCAGGTCAAAGGGCATTAAGACAGTGAGTCTTCTCCCCTGAAGTACTGTATTTCAGTACTTTCTCCTTCCCGAAAATCAGAACCTCAGCAACTTTGAAACTCTCAATCTAAAAAGCACATAACTCTGGGATTGTCTCTTAAAGGAATATGATGAGTAAATGCATTTTCTTGGCGGTTCTCATTGTGCTGTCAGCTGAGCCTTTTCTCCATGCCTGTGCGGCTGCGGCGCTGACCTGCACATCAATACGGAGACCCCTGATGTGCCTCGTGTCTGAACAATGACAAACGAGTTGCTTTCTCCAGGTGAAACTGTCTTTCTTCTGTGCGTCATCTCATCACTCTCACCAGTCAAACGCATCATATATGATACAGGACGAGAGCTTCGAACGAAGGGAAATACGAACCGTAATTCTTAAAGAGTAATGGAACTTCATTGATGTGTGACTATTTTTGGATGCGATGATGGAGGTGCAACTAAGGGAAATATTTCAGGGCGCGTTATGTATCGCAGCAGTGGGTCTGCATACTAACTACTCTATGTTAACAGCTATTTTTTTAGTGAGATTTGGATCAAACACTCTACAATGTCAATTGTGTTTTTTATTTTTTACCCTTTGGAAGTACAATGCCAAGTGAAAATACAAGAAAAATTAGAGTATTATTATTATTTATGAAATACAGCTATTTCTCTAAATGTAAACACAGTGTTGTCAGGTCCTTTGATATGTTAATGCATTTTTGGGTTAAAAAAGAAGATTATATAGAGCTCGATCCAAACCTGTTGCAAAGCTTTAATAGGTTTTCGTCAGGTTTCCTTTTCAACTCTGGTTTAAAATGCTCTGATTTCACTGCTGTTCATTTTTGAGGGTTTCGTTTTTGTCAACCTGATCCGAAAAAACCTAAGAGCTCAACGCTTGACAAAGGCATAGTGATAAAACCCGAAACCTGCGTCTCCACATGGCAACGTTATTAAAATCTGACAGATGAAATTAACAAATGTCTTAGAACGTTCTGACTCATCTTCAGAAAAGCTTTTCACTCCTTTTATTCCATTACCGTCAATGTTGCATTTTATTATTTTTTTTGTTGCCATCTAACATTTTGTCCAGGGTGTGTAGCAGGTTACTGTAGTACTGTTGAGTAGTGCTGTGGAACATTACCCAATGTCACTTCATTGCTCAGAAAAAATATTATTTATATTTTGAAATGAATTTTTCTTCTTTTGTCAATGCGTGACAGGCAGAACAATTAGATACTTGTCGCTAGGTGGCAGCAAACGGCAGTGAAAACTAAAAAAAGAAGAGAATCAGAGGAATTGAAGATCTTAAAGATCTTAAATCGCAGTTATTCTGGTCCTGAGA